AAATANGGTACCATAAAGAAGAAATTTAATGATTGCTAGGGCGGAGGGCTTGAACACTTTGACCATTCGGTCTCGCTACCCTTAATCAAGCGGCCTTGAGAACTACGAACAACTCTTCCACAACCTTTTTTGGGTATAATTCTCTTTCACAGCAGGTTTAAGGCACTGCAATGATGGAAAATACCCTATACAATTAACAAGTTCTTAGCTTCGCTTCTAATCATTTGATCTTTATGTTTAAGGGACTTGTCTGAAAACCTCTTCAGGGATCTGCCATTCGATATTTTCGCCACAAATACTGCCTTGGAGTATCTGTAAGTAGGTTTTTTAATATTTTTACGAGACTTTATAGAACTAGTTATAAAGGATTACAAATGTTAAATATGTCTCTATATATTGCATTTCGTTGAACTTTTACGTGATCTATTTGAGCATCTTATTTAAACTTATAAAAAAGTTTCCTCTCACGTTGCGATGAAAAAATGAATTCTACACCGTTACTGTCAGACCTAATGATTGACACAATGAAGTCCTTGACAATACAATAAACAATGTTGGGAATCTATAGATAAAAAATATAAACGACCATTAAAATCTTCTGAGAAGGAAACTACGACAATGTATTTGAGAGTTAGCAAATTAAGACAACCCAAATATTTTAAACAAACTTATTATAAACCGTAACGTGTATCATTAGGCCATAAACAAAGTAATATTAAAAAAAAATTTACAAATTTCTATGTTAACCTCACAAGATTAGACTACAAGTCATTTTCCCATGGTTACCAACTCATCTATTCCTAAAACTGCGTAACCAATGAGTGCATCCGTATTAACAAACCTCTCATTTCCTCACATCCACTGATATGATTGCTGATAACATTAAGTTTTAAAAGTATGAAAGTAAAAAAAAAAAACCTTCCTGTTTGGTTATATCTTTTATAAAATTTTCCCATCATAGCCTGCACACCAAAGCATACGAAACGTACGCCCGATCATTAAGGGCTTGGCTACTTAGCATCTGAAGGCAAAAAGGCTGGTTCAACATTCCGGTTTTGCGTGAGAGTTGATACATAGTGATCGAATGATGAGAATATATTATTTTCTTATACTTTGGTTCTATTTATTATACAAAGTTTCTTATCAACCACAGTGGAATGTGAAAAGAAAGTAGCGATAACTCCGATTACTTGGCCAGAAATCGCCCTCGATCGCGGACTTATCGTGAGCTTCAATTATGGTCGTCTTAGACATACATTTTGCGATGGCTCAAAATAGTTTCGTTATTTTTTAGAAACACTTGTTTTTTAACGAAATGTAGCATCCATAGCTTTTCTTTTGTTTTACTTACCTTGTGCCATGCTATGCTACATTTCTATTACATGTATAGGTACTTGTCTAAAATACAATTACATCACCTGCCTTCAGGACTCTTTGACAAAAACACAAGGCTGCAGTTTTTGTAAGTAACACTCTACAATCTGTGAGTCTTATCCTGTACGTAAATGTAAGACAACATCGAGCATCGAGTTAAAATGATGAAGGAATAAATACAACTCAAAATATCTTCTCTGTATCTTTCATCTAATGAAATTTATTTATTTAATCGCAAAAATCAAGTCACCTACGGCTAATACTAGTAGCCAACTTTCAAGCGTGCTGACTGGGAACTCCGATATCAGATCTTAGCTGCACAGCACTTCTTAAAGCCTGCGATCACATTTACTTTTTCGTACCTGTTGTTGTTTTTGAATCGATACGTCATCTAGTGTTAGAGACAATAGACAGTTTTATCAGATTCTTCTTTTCGCGTCGCCATTTTTAGAATTCACGTGAACATAAGGTCTTAAGTCAACTGCGAACTGGTTTGAGCAATTAGAATTTCTAGTAAGAGTCACATACCCATAGAGACACCATAGGCCATAGTCATTTGGAGCAAGCATGCAATGATAATCTTTGAGGAAGTTGAGACAAGAGTAAACCATATATAGGGATCAGAGATGGTTTAGGATTAAATACACAATAAGATTGTGAATGGCCAAATCTAAAAAAAAATTAAAAATTGCGCGTTGTGTTCCGTTCAGCTTAGCTATGCGTTAAGTTATGCTGATAGCCGGCGAGAAAATGACTTACATCATCGGTTTGTGGGTCAAGTTCCTCTCCTTCTTCTGCAAGCTCCTCTCCGATTAACGCATTTGTCAGGTGAGATTTTCCAACGCCTGTCTTGCCACCCAAAAGGAAAGTTATCTCACGGCTGCCAGACAAAATGAATTCACGAAGGTAACGCTCAAAGTCAGCAGCCGAGGAGCAGATTAAATCACTCAGCTGAGCTGCTGTGGTATCCATAGATTTATTGCCTGCTCCTTTCTCTGCCATTTATGGGGCTTCTGCTCAAAAGTTTGTAGAAGATATAGAAACAACAATTATTCTACTTCATATTTTTGTTCTGGTCAATTATCAAACCTTTAGACTTGAATGAGAAAATCTGTCACACAAACATGAACAATGGCTAGTGTTTATTCTATGGACTGGACTTAGTATCTAGGGAGACTTTACCGAACTTGTGCGCGCGCGACTCGCGTGCGCGTGCTTTGAGATTATGTAAGTTAAATGTCGTCAGCAAATCACGCGGACTTTTTTTCGACGTGTTGTTCAAAAA